ATACAGTCGTATTCTCTGATTGCCTTTGTGGGAGCAAAGAAAGTGAAAATTTCAAAAATTAGAAGGAAAAACAGAGTTAAGTCTTGTCAGCTTTAAAAATAGATTAGAGCGAAAGAAGAAAGATTATCAGAATTCCGATTGATAATGGAGAAATATCAAGTTGATGTCTATCCGAGGTAATACCTCAGTGATATATAATATGGCATAAAGTGATCCGAGATAATACTATCAAAACAAACGCTCAGTGATATAATTAACCGCAGGAAATTTCGGAATGATTGCTGGATAATAGGAAGAAAACGATATATTATTGTTGTTTCGAAAGAGAACATGAAGTATAAAAATGGCATGAAAATAGTAAAAGTTTTGTTTTGTCGTAGAAAATTGTTGCGACAAATGCGTACCATAGAAAATGACAAAAATTGCTAATTTCGAAATTTTCAATACCCAAATGCTTTATAGAAGTAGCAGAATATTTTAACAGTGTTAAAATTTATCCATAACCTTTTGTTATAAAATTATATGAATACTAAAATTTTTTTCTTAAAAACATTTTAAAGAATATTTCATATTTGTTTGAAAATTTCGTTAATTATGTCTTTTTTCATTAATTATGCCTAAATTATCCGTTTAGAGAGACATATGAAAGATATTATTTTAATAATCATTAAATTAAATTTCTTAATTATCTTTAATAAATTTTATCAAATTATTATTCACAAAAGTTTTCTCGTCTCTATCTTTTCTTGTTCTTTCAAAGAAAAAATACTTTGAAAATATATTCATTCCGATGATATTTGTTGAAATAATAATCATATCATTTATGAGGGAATTCTTCGATAAATTTATCGTCTGTAATATAAAATTAAAAAATGCAAAAGTTCAAAAGGTAACTAAATAAAATTAAAAATTATAAAATTAAAAATAGAGAATTAAATTAAATTAAAAATTATAAAATAAAATGAAATCAGAAAATATAAAATTAAGTAAAATCAGAGAATTAATTCAATAATTCAAACATGAATAGAATTATTACTTTATTTACAACTTTTACATGCTAATTTATGCTTGCAACATTGTTGTTTTAAACAAATTCTTTATTTCTTTTAACCAAGTTCAAAGGTTAACGACAGATAGAAATAATAAATTACAAGCAATAATGAAGAGATCAATTATCAGCGTAGTGTAATTTAATTAATTATCAATTAAGGTATAATCAACATATAATCAATGCTATGAAAATTTTAAATATGCTATGCTATGAAAATTTCTTTTTCCATTTATTAATTTTAATTCTCAATGAAAAGTTAAAATTTTCATAGCATATTGTTTTTATTGTGTTAATTTGTTAAATGTTGAAATTTCAACAATTTTTATTTTACCACAACAATTTGTCGTAGTAAATTTTGCGAATTTATTAATGGCATATTTTCATTTAGCTATTTCGCATATTTTAATTTGCGAAAAAAAGATTATCACTGAGAAAATAATGTAATAATTATAAAAAATGTTGCATGAAAAATTTTCTTTTTGTTGAAATTATTTTCTCGCATTTTATTGTTAAAATTGATCGATGAAAAAAGTTTGCGTAATTTCGTTTCACATCAATTTGTCAATTTTTCTTAATAAATGATAAAAGATATTTTGAATTGGGAAAATATCTCATATTAAATTATATTAAGTAATTGATTATTTATTTTCAATTCATTATTAGATGCTTATCAATTAGTAGTATTTTTATTACATTGAATTATCATAAATTCGTAAATGTTATTCTTATGAATTCAAGAATATGAATTAATGATAATATTAATATGAATTAATGATAATATTTTATGAATTAATGATAATATTAATTGTTAATTGAAAAGCAAATACTAATTATATTTTATTCAAATATAAAATATTCTTAATTACCTTATCACTCAATAAAAGTTAAATATTCATAATTACTTTATTAACTGTTAAATATTCCTTATTACTTTATCACTCAATAAAAGTATGATTAATTGATCATTAGTGATTCAGAATTAATGAATACGAATAATTTTATTGTTACTAATGCAAGCATTTCGTAAAAATTGGAAAGTAGACATAGTGTAAATTTAATTATTAAATTAGTAAATTAATTATTTAACTACCCATTAATAATATTTGTGATAATATTTAATTAATTCATTCATTCAAATGTTTGATTAATTATATAAATTGGTCATTTATAAAATTTTAACAATATTTAGAAGTGATAAGATGATTATAAAATATCACAGATAATAATAACGAAATTTGTAGCATAAATTGATTAATCTTTTTCAAAATTTGCATTTTTCTTTAATTGAAAAAAATTATATTTTGAATAAAATATAATTAGTATTTGTTTTTCAATTAGCAATTAATATTATCATTAATTCATGACTGTCGCAAAATAGGAGGAAATATGCAAATATTTTATTCGAAGAGATCTAATCATTACTGATTAATATTATCTGGTGATAAATGATAGATGAAATGTTTCTTTCATTGTAAATATATTTTTTTTCCCATACTCAATCTCACAGAACAATAAAATATGAAAATCAGCATGTTAAATTATCATCTAATCATGTCATTTTTTACCAATGAAATGATGATTATAAACAGTATTAGTGATAATCTGATAATCAGTTAACATTCAATAATTTCTTGAATGCGAAAAGAAAACAAAATTTGTCATAATAATTAATGATCTCATCTTTTGTTTCTCTTTTTATCACATAAACAATTAATGGCATAAGCTGGAAACAAAAGGAAGAGAAAGAAGAAAAAGTAATTTAAAAAGAGAAAATAAACAATGAAAGAAGAGAAACAATAAAATATTTAAATCAACGAAATTTTAAAAAAAGAAAAATGCACCGAAAAATTAATTATAAGGCAGTCGAAGCTAATAATATATTTATTTCGATTGCAATTTTTCATTTTACATTTTTTCAATTTCATTGCCAAATTTTCGTCACATTTTTGTTGATTTTAATATTTTAAAATGACGATATTTATATTAATAAATATATTAATATATATTAATTATATTGATTCATTTCTTATTAAAGATATTATAATAATATATTAATTAATATATTAACAAATATATTGATTCATTTCTTATATTCATTTCCATTTTCATATGCAAATTTGAATTATATAATTCGTACAATATGATATTTGTTATTTTAAATTAACAAAAATTAAAACAATGAAAAGTAATAATTTTCTTTCTTTCGTCTTCTTTTTGTTACTTTCATTTTTGATAAATAAATAAATGATAAAATAATATTTGTGTATTGTTTTCTTAAAATAGAAATAACTTTCTATTATTAATAATATATGTTAAAATTAAATATCGTTGAATATATAATTATTGCATATCATGCATGCATTTATTCCCTTATGAAATATTTTGCATTTCAATGATGGAATGAATATTTGCATTTCAATGATGGAATACTTGCATTTCCAATACATGCATTTTGATGACAGAATACTTGCATTTCAATGACAGAATACTTGCATTTCCAATACATACATTTCGATGATAGAATACTTGCATTTCAACGATGGAATACTTGCATTTCCATAATGATATACATGCATTTCAATGATAAAATTTGCATTACAATGATGGAATATTTGCCTTTTGAAATTTTATATTTCCGTAAATTTTTCGCACACAAAAAATTGCAAAAAATTATGATAAAGCAACTTTTTGAGTACACTTTCTAAATTTTCCCATTCTAAATGCTGTAGAAATATTGTAATAACAATTGAATATTTACTGATAATAACTTTTATCATTCAATCCAATAAATAAAAATCGGAAATGTTCAGGCATAATTTACTTACAAATAAGACTTTCTCTATTCATAAGTAAGCCTAGCGGATCGTCCATCTTTATCCAAAAAGCACATTTGTCTTATTCAGCAGGTCAAATCAGGTTTTCACTTTAATGTGTGCATTCCGTGTTACTCATCAGTTTCAGTAAGTTTAATATCATTTAAACCATCAGAGATTATGGAACTTGTTTGAGACGTATGTGACCTGTTCCAAACACGTAAGGATAGCCCATAGCATTCGTTTCAATTACAACACGTAGCAACACGTTTCTCTTCCTTACATTCCTATCGATTTCCCCTTCACTGTATGCCATTTTACTTCTCTCTCTCTTCCATTCCATTCAATGTTTCCTTTTATTATACTTAATATTTTTGAAATATAAGAAAAGGGAATATGATTTCAAATTTTTGAAATTTTAGAAACTTCTATTGTTTTCCAAAATTTTAAATCAGAAAATTGCAGTCTTTAAAATTTTTCGGAAAACCTTTTTCGGAAAAATTTTCGGAAAATCGTTTTCGGAAAATTTTCGGAGAGCAAAATTCAAAAATTTCCAACATGTTGAATAATTTAAAAATCGTGCAATACCATTACCGCCAAATCAAGAAGAAAGCGCAAAATGACATGAATGAATGGGCAGACATAGAGATGGTCTTTTTGAGTGTTCGAATATCATCGATTGGTCTGTGCGTCTGTCTGTTTCTTTTTGTGACTCTTTCCCATGCTCTCTTTTCGTTACTTCTCTTCATTTTCAAATTCCCTCTCTTCTGTCTCTCTCTCTATCTGATTGCCTAAAAGAAGCAAAGCGATATATTTCGTCGTCTCTTTTTTCTTTCTCTTTCTCTTGTCCTTTTTTCAGAAGTATGTTGTTAGTTGTTAGTTGTATTATATGTGTGACCCTGCGTTCTATCTTCCAGATCAATGTTTCGCTTTTAATTGAATGATAATAGCCTACTGATAAAATATAACTTGCAATCCGGAATTCTGTTCATGAAGCTTTTTCCGGCTGATTGCTTCATCCAACCGTTTTTGTTATGGCCGAAGTTTATTTAATGCGGGTCTTTTTTTTCGTAATCTATATGCTACATATTTACTAATAAATTATAGCTACGTAAAAAGTGTGAATTCAGGAAAACATGCCATACTTTTCGATCGATACGAATATACCACAGGATCGTATTACGACTGATTTCCTGAAGAAAGCATCAAGTATGGTTGCAAAAGCACTTGGAAAACCGGAAAGTGTAAGTGAACTATTGACTAACACATTGTTTTTCTCCTTTTTTCTGCAGTGAAATTTAAAATGGTGTTGTAAGGGAGAGGGAGAATAAAAAGTTTTTCACAAAAATATTAATTAAAATAAATTGGACTAAATGAATGAGAAATTTAATAGTCAGACGCATTCAATTTCATATTTGATATATATATGTTGTAAGAAATTTAATCTTTCTCTTTTCCTTTTGATATCTCTAATCGGGTTATCTTATTATTTCTACGCATGCTCTTATTACTTCTAGCATGCTATGAGTTTGTACTAACTAACGAATTAATGCTTAGTATGAATTTCTACTATGCTTATTATAATAAGTACTTGTATCAATTGGAATCTTTAAATTGTGAGTGTGAAGTAAATCGTACTGTGATGCTTAGTGAAGCAAAATTTTTATCGAACATGAGAGGTTAAAATATGCTAAGAATTCTCTGAAATACGGGCTTTTCATTGTTTTATTTCCGATTATAACAATACGATAAGTGTCGGAATAGGATTGTGGATTTGTTATATGTTGAGAGCCGGAGAAGGCTGATAAAGGTGATAATTATACGGTAAATAAATATTTTCATGCTTTTTTCTTTACTTTCAGTATGTATCAATCCATGCTAACGGTGGACAAGCGATGGTATTCGGCGGAAGTGCGGACCCATGTGCTGTATGCGTTTTGAAATCAATCGGTTGTGTTGGTCCTAAGGTCAATAATTCGCACGCAGAGAAATTGTACAAACTGCTGGCTGACGAGCTAAAAATCCCGAAGAATCGGTTTAGCTTGATTTTCATTTCTAATTTGCATATTTAAAAAAAATTAAAAATTAGTTTAGTTTTTTAGTTATTCCTTTTTCGATTTTATCGTACTTTCAGAGGTATCAGTACTTGTAGTAGCTGAAAAGTATAGTTTTTTGTAATCTTTATGATGTTCCGCATACCTTGAGTCTTACGTCGATTATGATTTTGAAAATTGCATTTACTTTTCCATCCGATGATGGATTTGAAGTAAAAAATTTGTAGGCTTTCCCTGATACTATGCAGCCTTGAGGAAGTTTTCGAAGTTTTTAAGATCCTGCTATACGTTGCCATTTTATCTTTCACTCTCCACTGATATCTCTCCATTTGGTTTAAGGTTTTAGGGCTTTTTCCAGACCGTTGATCTTAGATCTCAGAAACTATCAACTTGCTGTTACTTTAACAATTCTCATTGTCGTTAGCATTTCTCTGTTCAGATATGGAAAATATGAAATATTATTTTTCAGTTGCTACATTGAATTTGTGGATATCGATGCATCTTCAATGGCTTTTAATGGATCTACCTTCGGATAATTCGATTTCACAAATAGAAAATGGCATTTTAAAATGGAAATTTTTGGAAGTCTTAAAGCTTCGTTGAAAATTTTCAGTCATTGTTCTTTTTAACTAAAAAATTTTCCATAAGTTTTTAATGTGTTACCTGAAAATTTTTTAAATTTTAAATTAATTATCTCTTTGCAATAAATTGTTTAATTATTCTTTCCATTCAAACAGTTCATAGAATAAGATGTAGGGCGTGCAGTACTTAACATGATTCGACATGAAGGAGAATAGCCATGAAATACCTGTGGTGTGTTTCACAGACAGTTATAGTTGGTATGGGTCTTCGACACGTCTTCGTCTTCGTTTTTTGCTTCTGAGTTCACATTGATCTCACGTTGTATTCGTCATTTACAAGGAAAGAAGTGAAGAAGTAAGTGCTTGAAGTGGGGAAAATAAAACACTAGTTAAATGAACAAAGGATCGGCTAATAGTGCGAAGCTACCAAGGAATTATGACTGAACGCCTCTAAATTAGAATCCCACCTGGTTTTGCAGAGGACTTGATTACTGGTCAAGATATTGTAAGCAGAAAACAGTATCCATACTGTGATCTGCTGAAATTTATCTTTAAAATGGTAGTTTCTGCAAAGCAATGATTCCACTTTTTTTTCTGATTAGATTTGAAGATCCGCTACTGCTAGCTGGTTAATTACCCGAGTTTGGGAGAAATGTCAACTTATAGAGTGAATATTAAACCAGTCAATAGTAGCGATTCCTCAAATCCAATGGCGAAAAAAGTGGAATCATTGGTTTCGCCTGTCATGGGAATTTTTTTATTGCTGATAGGCATAGAGAAATAGTGTGATAAAGAGGTTTTATTGGTTGACGAAGGGTTTCTTTGTCTATGAAGGTTATACGACAATTATCAATGAATAACATCGCTGATGACACTGCTAGTAAGGACCGTTTTATTAAAACTGTTATAGGTACCGTAATACTGCTTAGATAAAATCAAAGCACACTATTATAGTTTTCTTGGAAACAAAAAGGTGTTAAGTGAACAAAAGGTCAACCTATCATTTTATCGTTAAACGTACGATGTGTATTATTGCAGTCCTTAGGAAACAAAAAAACTTAGTGAACAAGGAAGGTCAGCTTAATAATTTGAGACAATTTAATCTTTAGCGAACGTTTATAATATAGATTTCTATAACAGAATTACCTTGGTTATTTCAACAAATTTATATTATAAAATTATTTCCCAACAGGACCATTCCTGAAATGAACAAAATGTAAAGGTAAGGGAATGCATGCATGAAGTAATATTATAGCTGTTAATTCAAGGTTGTTGTTATAGCTGGTAATTCAAGGTTGTTGTCTTCCATAGTTTCGAACAGGTTAACTGCATTCCGAAGATAAATATATTTAAGGCTGTGTGAATTCCGAAGGTAATTTTGTTTGTGTGCTACATGAAACATTGAAGACAACCTTGTTGAGGGATTACATGGACTATCGAACTATCCGACGATAACTTTTCAATGGAGATTTTTAATCTCCATTGAAAAAAATTCAATAAACGAGAGGAGTTGAGAAGCAATTTTATGCAACTAAAGTACTGTATTCTCCTTACAACATTGTAGTAAATATATATTCGAAAATGAGGAATTGAATCTAATTTCCCTATAAAAAGAATTCACAACAATATTTTGGTTGTATGGAAGAGCGAAAGGAAAAACGAAACAAACTCACTTACCTTTCGAAATTATCTTTTTTATGCGTTCGTAAGAAATAATTTTACCTTTTATGCTTCCCATTTTAGGACTATTTCTTTCCTTTTTTTCCTTTCAATTTTCTACAAACTATCAATTAATAATGTAGAAAATATGCAGGAGAGCGATACTGTGTACAACAATTGAAAATACTGGAATTTAATGGAAATATGCGGGAGAGCGATACTGTGTACAACAATTGAAAATACTGGAATTTAATGGAAATATGCGGGGGAGCGATACTGTGGACAGCTTCGACAAAAAGAATTCATTACAATTTAATTTATGATTGATTGAAAAGATGAATTAATTTTGGTTTAAGAAATAGAAATTCAATAATAATTGCAATAAATTCAGCAACCTAATGAAATAATTAATTTGAAATCTTAAATATAATTAATCATCAAATTGTTAATAGCAATTAGAAAAATGAAGTAAAGAGAAATTCTTTTTACTATGCTTTAAATATCAAACGACAGCAACAATAATTGGTAAATAATTATAATATCAACAACAATAAATAAAACAATATCGATTAATTAATTAACAACAATAATTATAAATAATAACAATAAAAATATCAATAATAAATAATAATAATAATATTTCGGGTTAGTAGTAATGGAGATTTTTGCCTTTTTTTAGGTGGAATTTATTAATCAACTTTGAATAGGTTGAAATTCTTTTATATAATAATTCCGATTGATTATAATATTTTGTAATCGTTTACCAATTCAATAAATATTTACGTTATTTACATCATACTAATATGTCATATCAATTCAATTCTTTCCTTACAGCAATTACGAAAGGTAAAAAAGAATGGATTTTATAATGAAAAATAAATTTGTTAAAAGAAAGCGAAATTTTCGTTTGAAACAAATATATCTGAAGTTTGTTAAAAAGCCTAAAATTGATTATTGGTTGATTAATTAATGATAGATTAAAAAAAAGAAAGAGGGAATTCAATGCAAAATCAAAATGGAATTAATCGTGGTAGAATAGAAGTAAATGAATCCTGAAAAAGAAAGCATTTGAAAAATGACACCGGATCATCGATAGATCACCGAATTCATTTAATCATTAATGAAAGCATTTCTTCTTGTTTTCATAAATAGATATATAGGCGATAAACAAGCAATAAATAGATACATAAATAGATATCAAATATTTTTTACTAATATAAATTCAAATAGTTTAAGAAAGAAGTCATCTATGTTTCCCCAATTTATGTCAGCTGCTTTTTTGTTGAAAATTTCTCAATTTGTCGTATAATGTAAAAACTATCAATAAAACTTCTAAATGACTCTTTTTTCCCCTTTTTCTTTTGACCTTTTTTTTTTCCCCTGACCTTTTCTCATATTTGTTATTATTTTGAAGGACAGAATAGTTTGCGAAGGATAGAAATGCCTTCCATATGAATGTCATCAAATCAATAGTTAAGTTAGTTGGCATTGAACTTTATTTAACTCATGAGTCATACAAAATAAAATGATATGAGGAAAAATTCAAATTCAACTCCTGAAATTGATAGTTATTTCAATATTATTGTTGTAAATTTTTCATCACAAAACAATTTACATATTATGAATTAAGTATTTTTCATTTTAATTAATATAATGTGACATTTTTTTTCAATTTTTTGCAACGATCACCCTAAAATGATTTCGCAATAAAGCAAATTTTACAATCGAACCATAAAATTTTGAAATAATTAATTGTGACATTAAGAATTACACGTAAATAACATTTTCAAAATTATACGTAAATAACATATAGCACGTAAATAACATGCAAAATTACACACATTACACGTAAATAAGATTTTCAAAATTATACGTAAATAACATCTAAAATTGTACGTATTGCGCATAAATAACATGTAGCACGTAAATAAACACGTAAATTACACGTATTTCGCGTAAATAACATTAATGTTACACGTGAATAACATGCAACAATCAACTGTGAAATGAAATAACTATTAGTTTTTTTGAAATTACATTTCACTTTGAATTAAAAAAAAAAGACAACCTGTGAAATCTAATCTCTATTATCAATCAATATGATATGCTTATGAATTTGATAAACTTTGACCTAGTAAAATTCTAATTTACTAATGATGTTTAAAAATTATATTCCAATTTGGTAAAATAAATAATTTATAAAACTAAAATCTCTTTTATCAAATGTTCGAAAAGCTTGCTGCTTGCTACAAGCTGAATAGAAATTATAAAATTAATGGTTACAAAAAAAAAAGTAAAAATCATAGGCCTCTTTAAAATAATATTAAATATTTTTATATGATAAAACAATAGGAATAGGCACAAAAATAAATCCCTAAAATTTTAATGAAACAAGATTTTCATTATATTCTTCAATATATAAAAATTTTTCAGGTTTATAATTTGTGACAGCTTCATTCGATTATATATATATATATAATATATATATATGTGATGTGCTAGACGATATGAGAAAATCTGAAGAAAAAAAAGTTGTCAATAATAAATTCCATTTCATTTTGTTTATAATTTCTATTGTTTTTAATTAATTTTTAATAAGCTGCTTGCTGAAAAAAAGAAGGAAAATTTCGATATTTATCACAAATTAGTTTTTTAAAAAAAAATTTTATATTTTCCTGAAAATAATTAAAAAAATGGAAACAGAATTTTTCCGAATGTTTCCATTCTTTTTTTCCGTTATGCATTAATTTATATTGATATTGATTCTCATTTTTCCGGTGAAATAATTTGCATCTGATGAAATTCTCTGTTTTTCTTAACATTTCGAAATTTGACATTTAATCAATTCTAATTTTATTTTTTAATGCTATACTAGAATTATTATCATATTCTGTTTCAGTAATTTTAATTAATCAATTGAACTTAAAAGCTCCATTTAATTTCAACGATTCATATATACATATAACCCTCTAAATAAATTCGATTATTCGAATTCAACTTATCAAATGTTATCAATGATATCATTTCTTCTTTAACATACGTGGATCTTTTAAATATAGAAATTTTTTTATACATTCATATCAAACTTAACTTCTTCGGTAGTATTAAGAGATAGTTTTGTTACACTGAAAAAAAAAACAATAAAATTGATAATTGCTACGGTAACAATAAAAACAAAGAACCTTACAGCTTGCAAGTAATTCATAATGATAGTATTAAGAAAACATAAATGAATAACAATTCCCCTTCGGATTCATTCATAGGGAAAGTTTTATTCCATTCATTGCTACATCGATCCGTTCATATTTCCATCCTTCCAGTTTTTTTTCTATGTACCATTATGAAATTCAAAAGAAGCTGAATGTTTATTGATAATGTTGTCAACCTTCCGCGATAAATTTTGATCAACCTATTACTGTCTGTCGTCGAATTATCTATCCCATGTTGATACATCATATCAAATGACTTCATCACTTCGCTACATATGGTTTTTTTTTTTTAAAATTGAATCCATCACTCGCTTCTACTACTTGTAATTCTCTTAAATCTCGTTTAAATGTGCGCAAAGATAAGCAAAATTTTTTATTTTTTCTTTTCAGGAAAAACAGACAAGAACAATAGTAATGAGACCATGCAGAAAGAAAATCGACAATTCAAAACGTAATGAGAACGGGAAAGCCATCCAGTGAAATTTAGGAGAATTATCAACCATACGAACGCTAAATAATCTCGCCTAATCTTGTTTTCATTGATAATTCAGTATAGAAACCAATAAAAAGCTATACAATTGGTTTTTTTTTTCTCTTTGTTTTCATTTTAAATTTCACTGATTATTAACAGGATATCAGCATTTTTCCTGCAAAATCTTTCCGAATGCAAGAATTTTTATCTCAAGCAGCCTAAAATTCATCCCTTACCTAGTTTTTCCATAACAAACAAGGATCACAAATCTACATTGAACAAAAGAGTGAACCAACTCCAGAGTTTCTTCAAATGCAAAACGATTTTGAAAACCACACGAAATCGCGCTCCTAACAGAATTAAATTTAGAAAAGAAAACGAAATTCGAACTAAGACCCGATTTCTGGGGAGAAAAATAAAACTGGAATCTAAAATCGGGATGGATATCGAAATTAGGTGAATGACTCACAACAATAAAAAGCAAGGAATATCTCATTTCCTGTTTTCTAACAGTTCATGAATATCATTCATATATTAACCTGAAAACTGAAGGCAGAGCAACCCGGAATACACAGACCACTACGGTTATGTCAGACGTGGTTGCGTATCAGTGATATAGACAGCATTACACCATGAGACTCCTCTAAACAATAGAACAACTCATAGTAAAGTAATACAGTTGTTTAAAGCATCATGGCATACACAAACGTAAATATACAAATCAAAAAAAAGAACGACAAGTAACAATGAAAATTAAAGGTAAACTACCATGATTTCAGCATATTTGTTTGTCTTGTATGAAAAACAAAATAACTTATAGCGGACCAGTACAATCCATTTCACGTGCTATATTCACCGTGCTTTCTAATAAAGCATCACGAAGTCGCCATAATGCTTTCACCACTTCTTCATCCCTAACACCATTGTCTTTAGCTTCCTGAAATACCCGGCAACCGTGGAATTTAACTACGTAGTTTGAATTCGATAAAAAATGACTTCCATTGCAATGCTTTACTTGCAAGTTCCTCAATACTTTAAACTACAGGAATACAAAAACTATAAAAGCAGCTCACCTTCAGCCATTGCGTTGTCGAAATCTTCTGCGGTGGTGTTGTATTCCTTTGGTTCGCCAATAAACTCCTGCTATATTTACTAACAGTTCTTTGCTGACTGGTTGATAAAGACTCTATATATCTGAAACTCAACACTGCAATAATGCACCTTACACCTTACTTTTTACAACTCATTTAACAATTTACATGCCCTATCTTATATCCATGACTACTAACTACAACGATTCGTGTCTTAAAAAAACTGATAGTAGTAATGACACATTTAGTTGAAAAAAAAATGTTTCAAAGCAAGGGGAAAACAGAAAACAACACACTTCATATGCTTTAAACATGTGTTTGAAACAATAATGGAATAACAAACCGTAAAAAAGCTAAAACATACTTCAGATAAACTTCGGAATGCATAACCCTTTTGATTTGTACGGTATTCGGCGGAGCAACAAATACAGGCTGTGCAGGCTTCGGAGCTTGAACAATCGTTCGACCTGGATCACTTATAACAGGAGACGGTTGTTGTGAGGTAGATGGCGCCGTATAGCTCACTGTTTGCAATGGTACTGCTGTGTAGTTCTGCGCTGCTACAGCAATTGGTTGGGCGGTCGATGCCGTGACCTAATAATGGGAGTATTTAACTATACTACCGTATGTCAAAGCCAAAATAATATTTAAATAAGACTTCCAACCCTGTATTTATAATCTCAAGTCGTTTTAAAAGAATAACGGAAAAAATTAGAAAAAGAATATGAGAACAACGTACTACGTCGCGCTCTTAATGAAGGAGTACCCTCAACTGCATTTACACAGATTTCATTTTCTGGAATGGCTCATAAGTAATTCCCCCAACCGAAAAGATTTATTTTATTTTTCAAAGCTGACACAAAAAAAAACAAGTTCTGGATAGTGCAGTATGCCACAGTGGAATATGGATTCAAACATAAGTCGTAGAAGTCATTACAGACACCAGCAGCAAATGACTTTTTGCTTTGAAATCGCAGATATTGCCAGTTATGAAAAGAATTTGTAGAACAAACAGAAACAATGACAAATCCCCGGAATTCTAACTGAACTACTCAACAGACAGGCAGGAGGAGCATGCATACAAAAGAAATATACATAAACAAAGAAAGAAAGAAACGTAGAGTCTAAGTCATGCCATGCTTTCGAAACTTCATTATTTCAAAAAAAATCAAAACAACCTATAACATTTTATAGGATAATAAAACTTCATTGATTACATCTTGAAAAACAACATCAGCAGTAAGATTAACGCAAAGTGTCCGAATTTCATTGAAATACGAAAGAAATAAAAACTTACCTGCCGCACTTGCTGGTATGGATGATAACCATGAGAACTAGTATGAACAACGGTTGGTGTAGCAGCCAAATAAGCCGTTGGTGCCACAGCTACTGCAGTTCCATTCACATATCCATTGGCAACAATCTGATGAGTTGAAACTACTGCCTAAAAACAACACTAGCTTGAATACAAGCACTGATGACAGTAAGACAATTTAAGACAGCAATTAACATAAGTAATAAGTTGATAAGGATTACGAAGATTGACTCCAGTTTTGTCACGGTGAGTTCCGCATGTCAAATGATACCGACAACTTCTAAATATAATATTTTCGCTGCACTAGATAGTAAGTACTAAATATATAAAACGAATTATTCAGATGAGGCAGATAAACCCATTGACTAATTAAAAATCGAAATTGTTGGATAAACAGGAATAAAAACCAAGGAATTCATAATCACCTTACCTGAGTAACATACGTTAATGGCGCTTGCTGGATTGTGTAAGTTTGATGAACTTGTTGAGGTCCATTTGTCGGCTGCTGAACGGCTACGAATGTTGTTGTTCCAGGAGTTACTGATGAGGCGGACGAACCAGGCACATAAGTCGGTATGTAATTCCTATAAATTACTTAGGATATGATTTCCACTTTGATAACCATCAAATTTCAAAGTGGAAATGAAAACCTTTGACAATTTTCCGAAATCAATAAACAAAATATAGCTTTAAAGACGAAATCATGATTACTTGCTCCTCTGATTTGGATATATTGATTTGGCTGATGTCGCCAGATGCTTCTCTTTAATATGTCGATGAAGGCGTGGAAGAGAAGGAAACGGTCTGAAAGCGATAAAGTGGATCACTGAACTTCACAGATGCAATTAGTGTGCTGGTACAATATTTGAAAGAAACTACTTACTTTCCATCTTTCCTGTACTTTAAACATGATGTCCACAGGCATACGAATTGATTTTCACCATCAACTACTGCAAAAATAATAAATGGACAGAATAAACATATGACGAAATTAATCAAAAACATCAGACTTTTACAACCTACCAACCCACAACCCACGAACTGGAACCACCACTCCCTCGAAACTGTTTCGTTTACTTTCCTGCTCTTGTTTACAAATGCTCCCTCCACAACGAAAATTCAATTTTAGCTTCTATTATTCGAAAATGCAAAATCTTTACCAATCTGGGAAGTATGTATTGTTTTTACATGGTCATACAATTCTTCCGGATTATCATATTGGAAATCACACGTCTGCCATTTACACATATATACTCGAATTTGCCCAGGCTTAAACTTTTATGTTCATGTACTTCTGTGAAAACAAAAATTTCACGCTCTAAATATGTAGCTCGCATTTCTTCATAAGCATCAAAGTCTATGTTTTGAACGATATTCTTAAAAGAAGCTCAGCTTAGGAAAAGGTTAAAATAGCGCAACTAAGAAATTAGGAAATACTAAACGAGAAAAAACTGTCCAAATGCAACAAATTTAATTCTCTGTGATTAGAAAATACTCACCAAAATTCGCATATGAGGAGGCTCACGTGCTTCTTGTTTCGCCCGTTCATTTGCAATATATTCTGCTCTGATCTCATACTGTTTTTTCTGCTCTTCTGATAGTTTTTTCCACTATAACAAAAAAGATGACGAACGCCTCTAAATTCACGTAAAACGTAACTGATACTATCCATAGGATTTAGAAAGTTGACAACATGAGTAAATCATTACCTCAATGCCTACAATTTTGCTAACTTCACCGAAACCAGCTTCTGGATTCTCTTGCATCACCTTTTTTCGGACTTCGGCCGAAAATAAAATATAACCACTTTTAGATCGCGCATTAAGTTTAGGCTGTGCTGCTAACCAAGTTACCAATTCCTGAAATTACCGTCGTGACGGCTAACATCATAACTGCTAAGCTCACAGTAAAGACCGAATTCGTGGCACATTCATATTATACCTTTCCATGAGTCGCAGTAGTTACAGCTGTATGTTCTGTGCCATCATTTGACTCCGAAGCTGTTTCATCCATATCATCTAACGGCTCTATTGGCACTGATGAATTTGCAGCATGCATTAGTAAAGGTGACATCTCCTGTAAAATGAAAATGGAAAAGACTGGAATGAAAAAAATAATATATATAAAACGTATATTTATTAACTTCCAATCACTGGTCTTATGAAATTTTATATGAGTGCATGCTAGCATTTAAATGCTTCATGATAAAAAATATTCAAAGAATACTTTGTATCTTTTTTATCCGATTGCCAATTGACTTTATTTTGAAACTGACGATATGACTCATGTAAACTTCACATGACATTTAAACTTTAGCACATGGGAAATAAATAACCTTAAATGTCAACATTACTTTCAACATATCTCATCCCCTAAAATCTGCTGCAATGTGCATTTGTCCAAGAGTGGCAAACAAATCAGATTTTTTCTGAATTAGATCACGATTTTTGCTGATCTAATTAACATAATTCTTTCACATTCACATATCTCTTCATATCGGCTTACAACCACTAAATTTCTAAAAAAATCGATCACACTACTTCTTCCTCTGAATTTATATTCTAACCTTTGTTAACCTGCCTAAAATTTTGAACTATTTCTTCCGCTTCCTTAGCTTCAGAATATATTCGTTAACGATACTGATAAGGAAAAAAGAACCTTGAGAAAAAATCAAGTATCAAAATTAATAATAAATTAATCATATCATCTCCTTTCATGATTAAATGAAATATTTCTCACTGTTTTTCCCATTCCGTTCTACTGAAAACTCAGTTGCAGTCATCATAATTCGTAAATTCTTTCTTTCTCTCCCCTCTCTCGTTACGCAACTTCACAGCAACGGAAAGATTTCACACTTGCAATGAAAGTAGACTTCAAGGTTTCACTATGGAAAACTATTAGTTTAAGAGAAAAATTAGTTAAAATTGAAGTTTTTTAATGCATGAAAGAAATAATTCTTTTTACTTCCTCACTGTTTGTTCATAT